TTAGTGGGATATAGTGCTGGACATGACGTTACCTTGAGTACATGACAGTCAGCCCCTAACCAGGCTCCGATTCACAAACCAAGGTGGCACTCGCTTTAAGTCCTTGGGTAAGATATGAACTTGTGGTAATTGGGACATTTCGTCAAACGTTCCCACTGTTCTCTTCTTTCCCAGTCTTGTTTGACTTTATTGGTGTTTTGTTTTTGTTTTGTTTTGTTTTAATTAAAAAGAATAAGCAGTCAAACCTGCTGAACTTCCAGGGAAATATTTTAGTGTTATGGTGTCAAAGTGTCTGTCTGACAGGGCCTAGGAGCAACCACATCAGAAAGGTACTTTTCTACTTTTTTCCTTACAGAAATCTAGGCAGAGTCTGGAGCTGGAGTTGGCTGTCATGTCCAAGTCTGTCTGCTTTTTTTGTTTGACACAGCCAGGGTAAGATGAACTGCAGGCTAAGATGGGCTGTTTCGAAACAAATAGTCCAGTTATGAAATCACTTCTTTTTGACGTTAACATGTTTATTGTGATTTTTATTCTATCTGAAGATGTGTTACCTTGCTGGACCAGTTATTATCTTATAGAAAGAATATTGTGTATTCAATAAAGATAAAAGAGTCCATCTTTCCTTCACTTCATTTTACTCAGACACCATAAAAATTAATTGATTGGAAGAATTCAGTCTATACTGACTGGTGAATAAAATAATAGCAATAATAAAATGAATGTAATTTTAGAACATTTATTCCCATAAATTGTATATATTTTTAGATTTTGCCAACACCCATCTTACTTAAAATATTGTCTTAATTTTAATTTTAAGTTTATAGTTAGAATATAATAAAATTATAATTAATACGATGGTCATACACTGTCAGCTTAGAAGGTTTAGATTCTCCTTTTAATGTAACCTAATTAAAATTAATAATGATTCAAATTAAAATATAATGCCAAGAACATTCCCAAACGTAGTACCATGAGCAGGCAACTCCAGCAATACTATAATGTAGTCTAGGTTTGCTAAATGTGGATGTTTTCAGAAAAGATTAAAATCTGTGGCTTAGCCATCTACTTTTTCAGATTATTTTTCACTAGTTTGGGGCTAATTATAGTGATGGGAGACATTCTTTTTCGCCATGGAATCTGTGCATCATAATGTCTTGCTAAGAAAATTAAGATAAGACTAATACCATAAAACCAAAGAATGTGGATAACTGAAATTACTTATGAAACTCTAATTTAATAACAGTGTCAAGATCACAGATTTGGAAATTTGGGATAAGTTCTCTAGGAAAGTCAGCTTTCTATGACACAACTATACTGTACATTCAGCAACATTGACTGATATAGCTTATCCTTGCACGGTTTAAATTTCTTTCACCTCTTGAAGCTGAAGGCATTTCTTCTACCTTCCAACTCTAGCATTAAAAAGAGGCTGTACTGATCAAAATGTTTGAATGGATACTGTATATTGCCTCACGTTAAAGCTGTCTCCCATTACTATATTTTAACAACAACAACACCATCATACAGTGTTCTTTTTATTGTAACCAGTCCTTCCCTGCCCCATGTTAGTTGTTTTCTTACCACAGCAATATGTAAATCAATAAATCAATAACACATTTTTATTACACAGTGATTCCACTTTGCCACTGTGACTTAAAGTACCTGACTGCTGATGATTTTCTTTGTATTCGTTTCACCCTTTCCCCCCAATCTCTGTTAGGTTCTGAGCTCATGCCCAAAGCGCTCTCCACCAGGATAGTGGGAGGCATTTGGTGGTTTTTCACACTTATCATCATTTCTTCGTATACTGCTAACTTAGCCGCCTTTCTGACAGTGGAACGCATGGAATCCCCCATTGACTCTGCTGATGATTTAGCTAAACAGACCAAGATAGAGTATGGAGCTGTGGAGGATGGGGCCACTATGACCTTTTTTAAGGTAAGATTCCTTAAATAGTTCCTTAGATACATTGAAATAATGCATTTAAGTAGAACCATGCCCTACAAATAACATCCATTTATGTTGTTATGGTGCCATTATGCTGTCATTATATCATAAAATGTAGCAAATATTTTTATTTATTATGCAATAAAGAAAAATTAAAATTAGCATGGGAGAAAAATAACCATTGCATATACCTACATAAGGCAAATTCCTCAGTAATTTGAAATTGAAAGACATAATTTGCATGACATATATTTTATTCCTCATATATATTTTTAAATGTTCAAACATAATGTGGAATTTTCAATTCAGTTGAATTTGGAAATAAAAAAAGTGAATGAATTCTTTACAGACTTTTGAAAGACAGATGCTTGTCATTAAAGGTTTAGTAACTTGAGGGCAATTTTGTGATAAAAGGCCTTCTTGCCTTTTTGTGAAAGGCAAGAGTCCCAAATCTGGATGATGGAGCAGTAAGATGTTTCACAAATGTGGAAATAAAGATGTCAGAGAATAGAAGACATGACTCAGTACTTATGCTCCACATCTATGGCTGCTTGGGAAACACAGGCACCATAAAACATATTAGTTATATTTAACAGATATCAGTGCACGTTTATTGGTGAGATATTTGGAGGCCTTTGGAAATAGTGAGATCACATGGGCAACATGTTTGAATTTCAATGACCTTCAGCTGGCTTCTCCTACACTTCTTGCTTTGCCAATTATAGGTGGTCACACTGATTCAGGGAATCCAAGTGGAAAGGTGCATGTAAGAAAATGAGAAGATGGAAGCTCTAGATTCATGCTCTGTTCTCCTCTATTACTCCCTGCCATTTCCCTCCACTCTGAGTACTCAGGGTCATTTGATAGTTATTTGCTATTACATTTCAGCAAACATTTTCTCCACTTCAATGTAAGGAAAATTCATAGAAAGAACACTTTAGCTTATAGTTTAGTTCACAGAACATAATTGATGATATGAATAAGCAGTGAACATATGGTTAAATATTATTATATTTATATTGTACTTGAAAATTCAGTTAATCATTTTTCTTTAATGTTCTTTTTAAGGTGTATTTTTTTACATAGTAAACTCTTCTATGATTGCTTAATATTGATGTAAATTTGGATATAGTGACAGGAAATGAACATTTCCTAAGTCTTTCTAAGCTGATTCAGTCAACATATAGTCATATTTCATTAAAATTGTTTTTAAATGGACAATTACGAAATAGTCTAAAGGATTTTTCTCATACAACCTGCAGCTGAAGATAAAGAAAAATGACTATTCCATTATCTAAATTAAGAAATGATAATTTATTCACTCTATATGCAATATGCAAAAATATGCAATAAATACCTACTATTTGCAAAGGACTGTGCTAGGAACTGTAGATTTTGTATATGTCAGCGCTTATTGATGAATGATTTGTTAGAGAACATGACAAACCATCATTTTAAATGCTTTTCCTCAGGATACTCATATTATTTCACTCATTCATCTGTTTATTTTTACTACATAAGGGGTTTGTATTTCATTTTTTACTTTTCAATTAACAAAATTTTATTTTCCCCTTCTTCTGCTCTCATCCCCCCTACCAGAAAAGAAAGAAAAAGAAAACTCAAAAGTGTACAGAGACAAGCAAAACAAATTCCTACATTGTTCATAACTAAAAATGTGTATCTCATTCTTTATATTTAACCCATCACTTTCTCAAAAATTAGGTAATATTCTTAATCATTGTTTTTCTGAATTGTGGTGGGTCAGTGTATTTATCAAAGTTCTTAAATCATTCAGAATTATTTGTTTTTATCATTTCTTTCTTGATACAGTTGTTTTCCTGATTCAGCTCACTTCAGTCTGAATCAGTTCATGCATATCTTCCCATGATCTTTTAAAAGTAATTTATCATTTCTTAAGGCACATTCATATTCCTTTATATTCATATATCATAATTTAGTCAATCATTTTCCAATGGATGGACACACCACTTGTTTCCAGTTCTTTATTAAAACAAAAAGTGTGACTATGGATATTTTTGTATATATGAATCCTTTCCCTTTAAAAAAAATTCTCTCTTGGGTATAAGTCTTCTAGTGACAATTTTGGGTCAAAGGATATTCATGGTTTAGTAGCTTTTGGTAATATACTTCTAAATTGTTTTCCATAATGGCTGGAACAATTTAAAGTTCTACCAACAATGCCTGACCTCTCATAGTCCCACCAGTATTTGTAATTTTACTTTTTTGTCATTTTTGCAATCTGATGTAATAAGGATCCTTGAAATTTTTTTTTCATTTCTCTTATTATCAGTGATTTGGCCCCATTTTCCTTTTTCAAATGACTATTGCTAGCACAGATTTCATCCTTGTAAAACTTTGATGGAAAGAAGTATTTATGAGGTATCCATAAACATTCTTTCAAGACTGCCATGGATCCATGCACTGATCTTATTGATGATGTTCCCTTTGTCAGTACATATTACAGCCTGTTTCTTCTTTCCTATTGTGTATGATTCTTGTTCATGCTTTCCAACAGATCCTTGGGAAAGGATCCATTACAAAGATTGGAAAGCCTTCCTTCAACATTTTTACATTTTGAGGGTTCCAGTGCAGTACTTATTTTGTCACTTTCTTAGTCTTGCCACATGAATGCCTTTCTGATTTTTCCTTTGTAACCCTTCTGTAGGAAATGACACCTTTTGTGAATATCAGTATTGGAAGAACTAGTGCAGCCTCCTTATGGTCATCATGCATTTCTAGGATTAAAATTCATCTACAACTCAAATCTTTTAAGATTATGGCATGCAGTGATTCACAACTTAACTACCTGAAATAATTTCTGTTAAACAGCTAGGTCTTTGTGTCAGGGATGTGCTTGGGTTCATTACAAATATTGTGTCCCAAATGTAATTAATCTATTTTCTTGCTTCTTATCAATTTTTGACTCATATGTGTCTATTTGAAAGCCTCATTTAAAACATAAAAGTGCCTCCAAAGTTTAAGATTTTAGGGATATTCTTTGTGTTCTGATTTTCTAAGTAAGTAGACTGGAAGTCTGATTTCATATCATAATATGAGCGAAAGACATTTTTCATCTATTTGGCTTTTTGGTTATGGAGTACCTGGAAACGCCATAATATTCTGCAACTTGATGCCATCAGCAAAAAGTCACCTGTCAATGTCTTGCAGAAGATATCACCATCTATGTCATTATTCAGTTGTTTAGTTGCTCCTGACTCTTTGTGACTTCCTGAACTTGTTCATGGTGTTTTCTTGGCAAAGATATTCGAGTGGTTTACCATTTCCTTCACCAGTATGTCCCCATTTTACAGATGAGGAACTGAGGCAAATAAGGATTAAATGATTTGCCAAAGGTCCCCCAGCTAGTAAATGTCTGAGACTGGATTTAAACTCAGATCTTCCTGACTCCAGGCCAACTGCACCACCTAGCTGTCCTCACCATCTATAGCAGGAGTAACTAAATTGGGATCCATGGGGCTTTAAGTAGTTCATGAATAGATTGGGGTGTGTCTATGCAATCACATAGGGAAAATATAAAATCTTTATTTTCACTAATTCCTCATTGAAATGTATCATGTCCTTCAATTATTTAAAAACAATCTGAGAAAAGTGGTCTACAGGATTTATCAGACTACCAGAGGCATCCATGTCACAAAAAAAGGTTAAGACTATCTGATCTGTAAGAATCCATCCTCTGTTTTTGACTGTGGCTAATGACTTTTTTGATAATACTTCTCAATGTTTCCTTCCTCGATTGACATTAATAACTTGGTGATTGATCAATGAACAGTTGTCTTTGTTTCATATTTATCAAATGTGTGTGTGTGTGACCTTAAAATATAAGTTAAAAAAAAATGTTTGGAGAAAAGCCTTGAAGACTGCATTTTGCTCTACAAAATCAAATGTTTTTTGTTTTGTTTTGTTTTGTTTTGGTATTGGTTTTTGTAATCATCACAGAATAAACCCAGTGGAATCTGCAAACTTTATAGAATCTTAATTTCATTTTTATTTTTTTAAGATTTTGTCTATTTCAGCATTTTAAGTACTTTGTGAAGATTTTACTTAAAAGCTACCAAATGATCAAAGACATTTGTGAGGGGGAGATTCCTCATATTTTTATTTTATTTTATATTTTGAAATTATGTAAAACACTTCCATATTAGTCATTTTGTACAAGAAAACTTAAATAAAATAAAAAGAAAGAAAGAAAGTGAAAAATAGCATTGTTCAGTCTGTATTCAATCCATACCAGTTCTTTCTCTGGAGGAGGATAGTATGCTTCATCATTAATCCTTTGGGATTGTCTTGCTGAGAATAGCTAAGTCATTCACAGTTCTTCATTGAACAATATTGCTATCATTTTGTACAATGTTCTGGTTCTACTCACGTCTAAGCATCAATATAAGTCTTTCCTGGTTTTTATGAAATCATCCTGCTTGTCATTTCTTATAGCACAATAATATTCCATTACAATCATATACACAGCTTGTTTAGCCATTCCCCAATTGATGGGCATCCTTTTGATTTACAATTCTTAGCCAGCACAAAAAGAGCTGCTGTAAATATTTTTGTACAGATTAAGTCCTTTTCCCTATTTTTGGATGCCTTTAGGATGTAGACCTAGTAGTGGTATTACTGAATCAAAGTGTATGCAGAGTTTTATAGCCATTTGGATATAGCTCCAAATTGCTCTTCAGACTGGTTGGATCAGTTCACAACTTCATCAGCAGTTTTGCCACATCCTTTCCAACATCCAAAATTTTCCTTTTTTGTCACATTAGTCACTCTGATAGGTGTGAGGTGGTACCTCAGAGTTGTTTTAATTTGCATTTCTCTGATCAACAGTGATTTAGAGAATTTTTCTTATGTCTATAGATAGCTTCCTTTTTCTTTGTCTGAAAATTGCCTGTTCATATGCCTTGACCATTTATCACGTGGGGAATGACTTGCATTTTTATAAATTTGACTCA